CATTTAATAAAGCTTTTAGAACTTTGAAGTGACTTATGTTCTGGTGTGTCTGTCTCCCGTGGTTAATGAGGTTTTTTCCCTGACAAATGAAAACTGATAGGAAAAAGATGTAGAAAAAAATTATTTGCCCAGCATTAAAAAATATGTGACAAAAAACAAGTGGGCTGAAAAATAAGGTCTACAAATAATAGGTCAGCTAATATTGCTGTTATAGATCACATGAGTACAAGATCCATTTTCCCAGTCTGGTGCCTTCCAATACAGGTTGGAGGTGATATGGGTATAGGATTGTGAAAGGAAGCATAATATGTGATTTATCTTGTCTGTCTTTGCAGAACTGCCAGTTGACAATATCACAGTTTGATTTCCTGATTCCACACCAAGAATTACTGTTTGAACCTCCAAAAACAAAGGTGAAACCAAATATGATTTCCCTGTATAAATTATTTTGAGGTGGTTCCCACACTGGTTCCCTTCAGCCGGGAATTCTGAAGGTTAGAAATTTTTATTTTAAAAACAAGCACTTTTCTATGAGAAGCAGGTCTCTCTTGAAAATCTTTCCTTTTCCTTTTTCCTGCTCACCAACCATGGAGTTTGGAATCCAGAAAAACTAATTTTCAAAAATTAAAAAGCGTCTAGTTTTTGACCTTACTAAAACATGTGTCAAGTACAAACTTCTCCAAAGGGCCCAGGGAGTTATCATTTGCAATACAGATCTTCCCTATTTGTTACTAACTTATTCATAAACAACCTGCCTTTTAGAGCAAATCCACACCAGGCAGATTATTTAAAAAGTGTTAAACAAGAAACTATAGAACATACATAATTAAAAGATGTCAGTTAAAAACTATATAAAGAAGACAGTGATAAACCAGTACACTGCTTGGAGGAGTTCATTAAAAAGTCTGCTTAAAGATTATGAGAGAACATGGCAAATACAATTTCAGAGAGTAGGTGTCATCAGTAAAAAGATGTTGGGAGCCTTAGAAGTTGGCCAGTCAGCAGTGTCTGTGGATAATCATACAATCTAGGCAAGCTTCTATGGATACAGCAGTTCATCCCTTAATGGAACCACCATTTCCAGGGCTTCAATTTCAACAAATCAATGAATTCAAGAACAGAATACTGTAAAATAATGTATTGGAGGAAGCAAAAGAGGTATGGAAGAAGCAGAAGGGCTGGAAACTTAACCTACCAAGAAAAGAATCTAGAAGTTCTTGTGCTACGTCCTTATGTCCAAAATACGCAGCTACCACCGCTGGATTATCATCACTGGGTTCAAGGGATATGGTCACGCCTGCTTCTTTTAGCAAGTATCTTACTGCCTGCAGGTCCCCATAAGCGGCTGAAAGGCTCAAGAGATGACCCTGATTTGAGAAAGGGAAGCATAAAGAAAACGTTTAGTGTTTAGATCAGGGGTCCCCAAACTCAACCCCTTCACGAAGATTCAGTTTGTTCATCGACCCCCTAACATTTATTATCTGAAAATAATTTAATAAATACTACTTTAACTAACCGTACTATAGTAATAATAGTACAAAAAATAATAAAAGCAACAACATTGACCCCTTGGATAGTCCCATTGACCCTTGGGAGTTGATACTGACCACTTTGGGGAACCCTGGTTTAGATAATCTAAAGCTTATGTGCCCCCAAGTATCCCATTTTTAATCCCAGATTCTCCTAGGAGTGGAAGGAACTGACCCTTTTTAAAAAAGTTTGGGGACTTAGAGGAGAGTTTAAGGGGAGAAATAAATGTCTTAAGCCTTACTGAGGCTTAGGACACTCATTTTGCCTCTTAGAATGCAAAAAAGGTCCAAATATGTTGGCCTCATCCAGTCTGGGGATGTCACATCATCACTAGCACTAGCAGAGATACTTGTGATGGAATGGAATTATGAAGGCCAAACTCAGGGAGATAAACATTTTCTTAGCTCGTCAGAACCGCGTGAGAGGAACAAGAGGATGAGACTGGCACCTCCTTGAGGAATTCACACTGTTGTG